TGACCATGGAGATGAAGTGGGATTTGATATATTTGAAGCTACTAACCAAGTCGAATTTGGTGGACCTAGGGGTTTATCTAATAGTGATTGGGAATCCGAGAGTTTGAACAGTGTTGTGGAAAGTGATAACACAGATGATGATAGGGATGGGTATGGGGATTTTGGTGTTTTTTCAATGCCCAAAAGTATGGAACAATATAAATGGGAAGTGGGCACGTACTTCACTGACAAAAAAGATTTTACAGAAGCTATAAGATCGTATGGAGTAGAGAATGGTAGAAAATTAAAAGTTTATAAAAATGACAAAAGAAGAACGCGTGTCAGATGTTGTGGGGGAAAAGGGAAATGTCCTTGGAATGCATATTGTGCATATAAGGCAGCTGAAAATACATGGCAGCTAAGGAAAATAATAGACAAACACACATGCAGTAGAGAATTTAACATCCGTTTAATGACTTCAAAATGGTTGAGTGGGAGGTTAGAGAAGACTATAAAAGAAAATCCAAATATTAATCTGTAAAACCTCCATAACAAAGTTTCTAAGAAGTGGAACATTGGTGTTTCTCGGTCCACAACCTGTAGGGCAAAAGCAATGGCTTTTAAACAAATAGAAGGTGATTTTAAAGAACAATATAGAAGAGTGTATGACTATGCTAATGAGTTGCTTCGGTCAAATCCTGGTTCAACTGTCAAAGTTCATGTTGAACCTAATGAGGACACTCCAATTTTCAAGAGACTATATGTGTGTTTGAAGGCCTGTAAGGACAGCTTCGTGTCATGTAGGCCTATTATAGGTTTGTCATTCCACCAAGGTATGTAAATCCACATGCCTTTAAAATTCATTGTTCCTATTAATTGTTCTTTGTTTTCGTAGCTGATATTTTGCACTTCTTATTTGTGTAAGTAGATTTTGGTCACGGTCAAGGTTTACAAGTAATGCTGTTTGTGACACCTTAGTGAATAATATGTCCGAAGCATTTAATAGTGTAATATTACATGCAAGAGGTAAGCCCATCATCACAATGATGGAAGACATTCGTCTGTACCTCATGAAGAGATGGGCAACAAATAGAAACAAAATAACTACATATGAAGGTAGTCTTTGTCCAAAGATTAAAAAAAGATTTGAAAAGGAATTGCACTTGACTAAATATTGGATACCTAGGTATGTCGACATGACTACATTACCATATGGACTTCTTTATGTATTCAATTTTGTACTATAAATACTGATTTCTTTTTTTATCATTGTAGTTGGTCAGGACAAAAAAATGTTGAGGTCAGACACATTTCAATGATGAGTGACAAGTATGTGGTTGACATATATAAACTGGAATGCAGTTGCAGAAAGTGGACTTTAACAGCCATCCCATGCTGTCATGCACTAGCTGCCATGACATTTATCAACATCAATGGAGAAGACTACGTCCCACATTGGTTTACAAAGTCAACATACCAAGAAACATACATTCCAATCATATACCCTATCAATGGTCCTCAACTATGGGAAATGACTTCTCAGCCTGATGTTTTGCCTCCAGCTAAAAGAGTGTTGCCTGGTAGACCAAAAAAGAAAAGAAGGCTAGAGGCTTGGGAGCTAAAGAAGGATGACACACAACTGAAGCAAAATGGAACTCGTAAGAGATGTTCCATACGTAGACAACTTGGTCATAAAAGAAATAGTTGTCCACAAGCTCCTCCAGCAAACCAAAGTCAATATCAATTAACTCAGCAACCTCAAACCCAAGCTGAACAAAGTTAGCCAACTACTGGACCAAGTCAGTTTACTCAATGCGTATTGGAACAAACTCAGCCATCTACAACACAAGTTTAAAAGTGATTTAAAACTGACTTTATGTTTAGGTTAAGTATGTTTAGCTTAAGTGATGGCTATTTTGTAAACCTTGACATGTATTTTTAGACCAATTTTGAATTGGGTATTTTGTAAACTGTCAGACGTGCTTTTGAAGTCCACTTTGTAATCTCAATGACATATTTTCTTTTCATTATGATGTAATTATGAATGATGTTTGGATGATTATAATCTGAATTTCAATGATAGATTCTCTTTTGGATGTGCATTTGAAGTCCAATTTCTGATTATATTATCATGACAACTTCTCTTTTCATTATGATGTCATTATGAATGGATGTGCATTATCAACTTGAACAGAGTCCTGTATAATTTATTCACAGTAAAGTGTTGTGGATTTGTTCTTCAATTATATTACAAAGAGTGACACTGTCTAAAAACTTCCTTACAGTGACACTATCTAAAAGTCCCTTATTATACAGAACTCTCTTTTTGATTTTGTCTTGCTTTGGTCCAATGCAATTTCAGAAGCCATTTCCTCATTTTATTGTCAGTTACACACCACTTCCTCATTTTATGTTGTATATATCACAAAAAATGTAAATTGAAACCATAATTTCAGATGCTTCAATTCAGATTTCACGTTCATTTCAAAACATCATATTACAATTTGCCCAAAATGCTCTTCACATAAACTGTCTAATAGAACACATCATGGACTTTTAAACAAAATACATACAAGAATGATGTTAATGAATCCCAGAAAACATATCATTGATATTAACATCTTCTCCCTTTTCTGACAATCCCTAACACATTTCTCCAGGCTATTAATCTTTCTCCTTTGCCTAGCAATAATACTAGCAGCATCATCTACATAATCTTCATTAAGCCATTTAAAGAAATTGTATCCTTCAAGTTCTTCATTTCTTGTCCGCTGTTCAAAGTATTCAACCACAAAAATTTCATTAATAAAAAAAAAATTTATCACAAACATTAAACTACAAACCTTGTAATTAGGGCAGCCCCAGAATTGTTTCCCCTCGTTCTTAACTGTTTTTGCCACTCTCAACACAACAGCCTCCCCACAATGGCATATTTGGCTTCCAACGAATCCTCTAGATGAACCACCACGAGAGCTCCCCCATGAGCAAGACGAACAACCTTGATTCGAAGACATTGCGAAGCCCAAAGCGAGACAACCACAAACCACGAACCACTAAGCCAAGCAATTGCGAAAGAGGGAAGAACAACTCGCCAACCACGAACCACCACCAAACACTGAGTTAAGCACAACCCGTAAACAACAACAATACAAATGAGAAGACCAACAACAAGAAGAACACCCACAACTTTTCCTTGTTCGCAATCTACGTGAAGAACTCCAGCTGCCCAACTTTGTTTCTATTGAATTGCACAAAATTAATTAAAAACCCTAACTGCTTCCAATTTATCCCCAATTAAAATAAACTCAATTTCTAATAAAACCCAAACTTCTCGAATTCAACAACACGTAAGCACGCACACAATTACGTTTTAACACGTAACCACTAACTACTGCCACATCATCATCCCATTAACTATCTTTGCTTATATTTAACGGAAGGGATTAACTTGACTCACAAATTTACAAGTAAGGATCCATTACAATTACTTTTCTAATGAGGGACTAAATTGAGATTTTCCAACCAAACTGGGGACAAAATTGGGTATTAGATATTTTTGGGAGTTGCTCCCTCCATTACCCTCAAATCCTACACCTCCTTATTATTTTTTTTATTCCAAAAGCTACTCTTTTTACTTGAAATTTTTCTTTTTTTCTTTTTTACTTTTTTTATGGAAACCTAAATCTATACCTCTCATTTTCACTCTCACGTCTGCACATCGCCACACTCACCCCCAACTCTCACTTTCTCTCTTTTTCTCCACTCTATTTCTCAACTCATTTTTTACATCCGTTTCCACTTCTTTAATTTTTTTTTTCTGCATTTTGGTCTCTTGGTTGTGCGGTGGTGGTGCAGTGATGGTTCGTTGGTGGTGCTTTGGTAGTGCTTCATTCCTGGGTGCGCCTATTGTTAAGTTTGGTCTACTGGTGGCTGTGTTTTCTTTTAGAGCATTTTCACTCAACTATATCAGTTTGTTTGTGCGTTTTTACTCAATAGCTTTAGTTTTTTGTTTAGTAACACCACTGCCAACTTTGGGACTTATTCTGAAATTAGCTTGATCTTCAGATTTTTGCTCCTTGCTTTGCAATGCGTTTTAAAATAAGTTTATTCCCTTCGAGTTTTGCTTTGATAATATATTTGTCATCTAAATCTTTAATCAAACAACTTTTGTTTTCAAAAAAAAACTTTTTTAACCTTTCTCAAGTAGTTATCTGACAATCAACAATTTTTTTATCAATTTTAAGAACATACACTATTCTCTATTTTCTTGGATACAGTAAGTATTAAAAAGTGAAATTTTTGGTGTGTAATACTTCATAGGATAGGGTTAGAAAAAAAGCTAGCAGGAATCATCCAGAAAAAGGGTATAACCTTCGTCAGGAAATAAATGTCAAAAAAATTAGTTTCTACTTCTTTTAAATAAGGATTTTCTTAAACGGATATTCATCTCCGTTTGTTCTTCAATGTGTTCATTTGACATGCGTTTAAAAAGAGTAAAGAGGAATTAGAAGGTGCAGAAAACCTGGGATGATGGATGGATTAACTCTCGATTGTTTTTATATTACAACAAGTCCACTTCATATACCTAACTTTGATATTTATTTGTTTTAAAATTATTTATATATAATATAATATGACATGATATCACGTGCCGTGTGACAATATTTTTCTATT